ATTCACTGCATTTATTTAATTTTTGGCATCATCAATTGTGACTGGAATATTAGTACTGGACCTTTGTCTTCCATTCCTCCGCTGCTTGTGTCAGAACCTGCGCTGTGTGACTGTGTGACTTTCATAGAGGGGGCGTGTCTGCAGCGGCAGACTTCTCATCTCCCAGTCTGCAGTGATGAAGTGAGCGGTTCCGCTCATGGATCTTTTATAGTTCCGCGGGACGTCCAAGCGTCAGTCATGAGCCCAGCTGAGGATGCGCGGGAGAGTTAACTTTAGCCCGGTCTGACTGGAGCTGGAGCTGCTTAAATGCTGCGACAATAAGTGGTCGTTGAGACGCTTTTTTTCACTCATGACTTTCTTGTGCCACAGTGTTTACACATCGTGAGAGTTTTGTCGAATATTAATTATCAGTGTAGTTACAGTGAAGCCAAAATGCTCTCATACTGGGGATTTAAATGACGCGGGGCTTTCAAGCTCCTCCATTCCTCTGGTCGCAATGACTACGCTGTGTGTGGACTGCGCACAACTTTCTTTTCATAAATCAAACCGCGGATATCGTCTGTACCGAACCGAAGACGTTGAACCGAATGGATCACGGATCATTGATGAACCGTTGCACCTCTACCAAAGACTCTTTGCATCAAGCGTTGAAAGGTGCTGGGAGCATTGCAGAGCCCAAAAGGCATGCAATTCCACTCAAACAAATCAAAGGGCGTACAGAAGGCTGTTTTTTGCCGGTCACTCTCCGCCACAGGGACTTGGTTGTACCCGCTGGCCAGGTCCATAGTGGAAAACCAGCGGGCCCCCGTCAATCCGTCGAACGACTCTTCGATTTGTGGTAGCGGAAAAGTATCCTTTCGGGTCTTGAGGTTGAGCTGGCGGTAGTCAACGCGCAGACGAATGCTGCCATCTTTTTTCCGGACTAGGACAATGGGTGAAGCATATGGGCTGGAGCTCTCTCTGATTATCTGTGCCTCTAAGAGCTGATGGATATGCTCCTTTACCAACTCATACTCCGATGGATGCAGCTGTAACGGCAGCAGTTTGTGAGGAGGCACTCGCAGCCACGGATGGAACTTCAATCACCCCTGCTGGAAGGCTCACCACATTGACAGCGTCCAGCCTTCCTATAAGGGTACGAGGATAAAGCAGCACATCAGTGTCACAAACATTGACAATAGGGATGTAGGCAGTACCCCGGACCACCTGAACCAGAGCTGGTGATGCCAGCAGTCCTGCTGGCAGCCCAGACTCCATTGGTTCAAACAACACTGTGGTACCAGAGTACTGCTGCGAACAGGTGGCGGCAACAATTTTTATAGCACCTCCGGGTATGCGGATAGAGCCTCCTCCCCGTACCTTGACCTTACCAGGTTGCCGTGGAAGCTGCTTCATTCCGGAGGCATGGCACTGTTGAAGAGCATCGACCAGCTCACTAGGGGAGGTCACCACAGGGGCCGTATCGAATAAGGCAGGCCCGAACTGCCCGAATAACTCCTGGTAGCATTTACGCAAGATATTCATCCCCAAGACTCCAGGAGTTTGGGAAGAGACACCTCCCAGGGGGTCCCGAACTATTAACACGCTGCATTGGGGGATTACTTTTCCGCGAGGCGGCGAGTAAGAATACCCTCGGCATAGACCACCAGACCTGGTCTTGCCACATTCACTTATATTTTTGTCATGAAAACATGAACAAATAATTCTGTTAACCTCCGTGCATTTGTGTTAGGGATGTATATGTATACTGTATTCTCTGATTAACATTTAATGGTGTTGATTGATTGATTGGTATTTGTTTGAGAGTGGCTAGCTTCTCTGCACAGTAGTAACAGGCACTGAAAGCTCGTTGTACTTTTATTTTTGTCATGAAAACATGAACAAATAATTCTGAAAACCTCTGTGCACCCGGTATAAAGATATTCCTTTTGTCTGATCTCGTATCTGGTCGCATCCAACTGCACAGCATTGCTCCGGCATGATAGGAAAATCTCGCTACTACCTGTAGTATCATTGGCGGTTTTGCATTTCTACACCGTCAAAATGGCTGCAACAAATGGCGTGACGTCACGCCGTAAAAAGTTGAATTTACGTTTTAATTAGGACATAAAATTTAATTGTAATAACATTTGAGTTTGGAAATGCCCCCCTCTATTGTCATATCAGAGGTCTTCTCAGGTGATTAAACATATTTTTTACTGAGTTTTTCATATACTCAATTAAAACCATATCTATCAGTCTGATTCCTCTCTGTAGCATTAATATTGAATCCATGGGTTTGTTTTCTCCCTAAAGAACCAATCCTTAATTCCGTCTCGGTTTCACTAAGATGTCAAAATTTAAGAGTAAAGATAGAATAATTATTGGAGGTCTAGATAAAAAAAAAGAACATATTAGCAAAGATTAGCTTTTGGGAATCGCCAAAACGTAGAAGCCACCGACGCTGAGCTAGCTAATGATAAGCTAAGTTAAAAACATGCTCAGAAAGTACATAGTCAGTGGTTTGCGTGTGATTGAATACGTTTGTTTAATGTCAGCAAAGGGTACGGTACATACCAACTAATGATGAGAAAACGCACTTACTGATTTGCTGGTGGACGCCATGTTCAGATGAACAGGACAAAGTTGTGTTCTGGCCCCGGCTACATCTATGGAGGATTGGCTGATCGATTGCTTCTTTCTTGATTTACCCGCAAATCAAGCATGACATTTCAACCAGCAAAAAAAAATTGCAACTAATTTTTGGACACTGAATTTTAAAACATTGAATATGTTGACACTGAATTTTAAAACATTGCATTTTTGGACACTGAATTTTAAAACATTGAATTTTTGGACACTGAATTTAAAAACATTAAATTTATTTCCACTGAATACTTTTTTGTTATAGTTTTTATAATTCAAAAGCAAAAAAAAAAGTGTTGATAATAAAAACACAAAATAACCACCACGGACAGAAGCGTTGCAACCAGTATGTGCCATTGGCCCCTCTGACTACCACCAACCATTCACACACTCACACCAGACTCCTTCTAGGCAATGTTGGTGAAGTGTCTTGCCTAAGGACATGACAAAAGTTTACCACTTTACATTTGCAGCCGCCCAACTGAGGTACCTGGCGTTCTCGGAGGTCTCCCATCACAATACTAACCAGTCTCTGCCTTGCTCAGCTTCAGATGTCTAAAGGAATATAGCTTTCGCATGCAAGTATGGCCCAGACAAGCACAACAAGGACTGTTATGGACAGATATTTTAGTAGTTGACAAGTCAATGATTACTTATTTGATTAGTTGACTATTCAACAACTAATTTGTCTTTAACTCAGTTTGTAATTACTGTGGCCATGCCATGTAATTACAGGCAACAGTAGCTCAGTTGGTAGAGTATTGGCCTTTGAGCCAGAGGGTCGTGGGTTCGAGCCCGACCTTCACCATTGACTCCCACTGTCTGCTGTCGTTGTGTCCTTGGCAAGACACTTAACCTTTGGAAACACGGCTGCGGGGCGGCTGCGGCTGTAAAGTGCCAAACTGCCGTTGTGTCCTTAGCCAAGACACTTCACCGCCATTGCCTAGAATGAGTCTGGTGTGTGTGTGAATGGTTGGTGGTGTACGGAGGGGCCGATGGCGCATACTGGTTGCCTCGCTTCTGTCAGTGTGCCCCAGGGCAGCTGTGGCTACAGTAGTAGTTTAACACCACCGTGTATGGAGTGATTGAATAATGACAAGTAAAGAGTCTTTGAGTGTCCAGAAAAGCACTATATAAAACTGATGCATTATTATTATAATTGGGATCAGGGCTATTTCCATTCATTTTTTTTTCTTTTTCTTCCTTTATTTGTCCCACAGTGGGGAAATTTGAGGATGTCTAAAAAAGCTAATTCAATATTTGCTGTTCCTTTATGATGTCATACGATGTATTAAGTTTTTTAATTAATGTTTTGTCACAAAATAGCCCTAAAACACAAGACTGCCCCCCTATGCTTCAGAGTTTTCTGGTTTACAAGCTTCTGGCTTACAAGCTTCCTTCTTTCCCTAGACATTATGTCAGTTCCACTTGAGACCATATCACCAAATGTCATACAGTGTAAGCTGGACTATCCATTCATAATTGGAGTAGTGTCTTCCTCCGACAGAGCAGTCAGTCAACTCATGTTTTTACAGGACTGGTTTTGCTTTGTACCCACACTACATCTGTGAGTTGGGGATTCTTTTTCTCTTCACAACCTGACTGCACGCAAGCGGGACAGAAAGGGGCCATTCACATGTGGGACTGAACCGCTTGCGGAGGACAGAACCAGGGCCCAGACAGAGAGCATAGGCTCCCGGAATGAAGCTGTACTGGGTGAATGTTTGTTTGGGTGGGTGTTATCTCTTTGTTGGACTGTAGATGTGTACGTGATTGTTGCTAAGCATAGTCTAGGGTAATTAAACTGCATTTTATTCAGACACACTCAAATGTATTCTGGGCAAAATCATCTGAATCCAGTGCTGTAAAAAGAATCCAGTGCTGCAAAATGGTCCGAACCAAGCAGCTTCGCCACCTCTCCTGCTACCTTTCCTGCTCCACTCAGCAGACGTTCTACCTCAGCTGCTGTGACCTGTCCTGCTCCACCCAGTGGCTGTAACCTAAAGTGCTGTTGCATTTTTACTGTTGTTAGCTATTTTTCAAATTATCTAATTATTTATTTTGTTTGTATGGATGGATGTTTTTATGCTGCCACTGGACACCTGAATTTCTCCTACGGGGATCATTAAAGTATCTATCTTTCTATCTATTGATAATATTTAGTTGTGCGTTGTATGTTTCATTTCTTCCAAAGAGACATTTGGCGACATGACGACAATAACAATAGCTGTTGACAACTTTTAATAGTATTAGTTTTAATAGTATCCCTTGTGGAACTTGTCTGTCGTTTTAGAACCTTCTTCACCACATGTATGAACCTGACCTACATGTATGAACAGCCTATAAAACATTATGGTGCCCAACTATGCTCTCACCATGATGACTTCAATGGGGATGGGTACTGGTATCTTGGACTTGTACCGATCATTCAGCTCCTTGACCGCAAACACCACCACCATGATGACCACAGAGATGACCACGTCACACAGATTTGTTGAGGTGATTTTCTTAAATATGATCTCCAAAGTCTGTGACACAAAATTACGCAACAGGAATTAGGTTAGATTATATATATACTTTCATTTGAGTATGTTGAAGGATTTGCCATTGGAACAAAAACATTCATAACATAGTTCATTTTAAGGCAATAAATGCCCAATCTTAAAGGTATAAATGAGGATTTTCTTCTTCCAGGTGGATCATCTAGACCAGGGGTGTCAAACTTATTTTGGTTGAGGGCCGAAAGAAGAAGTGGGTTTCATTTTTTATACTTTTTATAATATGAAGGTATCTATATAAATGACTTGTTTCACATTAGTTAGACTGGATATTCTTTTCTGATTAGATTTAGTTCAGTTCCTGTGGACTGGCCCAAAACTGGACCAAATATTGAAGGTTAATGTGAAGATTTTCTTCTTCCGGGTGGATTATCAGACTATTGATCCTCCCAACTGTCAATCATTCTGGTGATTCGTGCTCGTCAAATAAGACCAGAGAGTTTTGTTCAAAATGCTGCTATTTAATATATTAATTTAAAATCATCTCAGGGGCCACTGGAAATGGTCTCGCGGGCCGGATCTGGCCCCCGGGCCTTGACTTTGACACCTGTGATCTAGACTATTGGTCCTCCTAATTATCAATCAATCTATGATGTAAGGCTCCCGTACGGTCACCAGCATGATCCCAGCCAAGAAGCTAATGGAGGAGGCCACCAGGACCCTCTGCTCATCCTGCTCAGGCCCTCAAACCCAGTGATGTTCATGGGAGGGCCCTCGTCTGGGACTATTCTGGTCACCACCGAGCCGATCATCAGGCACAGGACTGGGAAATCCATTTCAAATCACTTCTAGTGTCATACAATTAAGATGAATAAAAACCCAATAGAAATATTTGACTCAATTTCAACCATATATTAAATCCTATTTAACCATAACCATAACCATATTTAAACATATATTACATTTGCGGGGATACCTTTTTTCATAATTAATAAAGTTAACTTTGGGATAAGAACGGATTGGCTGAGTGAGGATGGGCAACTCTTTTCTGTCTGGAAAAGCTGATCTAAAGATGTGACAGAAGCCAAAAATACTTGTATGCAAAAACTGGTGATAGGAGCTGTTATGGAAGTGGGGAAATACATAGTATAACATTCCTGAACATGTTTGTGGTTTGACAGTTACTGTAGGTGCCCCAAGTTTTTATTATGTTAGCTGAGCATGTTGTTTGTCACATAAAGTGTTGTTCCTATCTGAGAAGGGCATTTTCCATTTTATCCAGTATCTATTTTTCCACTAATAATATTATGTTATACAATGGTCTCATTTTAACTGCTAATTTTTGACTAACTGAGGTCTTTGCTCCAGTGTTTGACCCACACTACTATCTCTGTGGTCATAAAATTATGAAGAAGGAGGTTTATCTCACGTAGATGAGAGCCAGAGGTCCACTGATGCCCGGCACAGTCAAACCCAACACAAACTTGAGCTGAGAGACAAGGATGTGCACCGCTGCAGCTGTGGTGAAGCCAGAGACCAGAGTGTCCGACAGGTACAGGACCACAAAGCCCACCTGGAAGACCCCCATGGCCAACTGTAAAACAGACAGACAACACAGGTCTACAGCAGGACTGAAACAGGACTGGAGTAGGACTGCCATCAGTAACACACTACACCGCAAGGGACTCAAATCCTGCAGTGCCCCCTGCTTAAGCCAGTACATGTCCAGTATAGGCCCATCTGAAGTTTTCTAGAGAGCATTTGGATGATCCAGAAGAGGATTGGGAGATAGTCATCTGGTCAGATGAAACACAAATTGAACTTTTTGGTAAAAACTCAACTCGTCGTGTTTGGAGGAGAGTTGCATCCAAAGAACACCATACCTGAAGAATGGGGTGGAAACATCATGCTTTGGGGCTGTTTTTCTGCAAAGGGACAAGGACAACTGATCCGTGTAAAGAAAAGAATGAATGGGTCTATGTATCGTAAGATATCGAACGAAAACCTCCTTCCATCAGCAAGGGCATTGAAGATTAAATGTGGCTGGGTCTTTCATCATGACAATGATCCCAAACACAACGCCCGGGCAATGAAGGAGTGGCTTTTTAAGGTCCAGTAGTGGCCTAGCCAGTCTCCATGGGCCAAAATACTAGCAACAGTGTGAAAACCTTGTGAAGACTTACAGAAAACGTTTGAGCTCTGTCATTGCCAACAAAGGGTATATTACACAGTATTGTGATGAACTTTTGTTGTTGACCAAATAATTATTTTCAAACATAAGTTGAAAATCAGACAATGTGATTTTTTCTCATTCTGTCTCTCATAGTTGAGGTATACCTATGACGATGAAATAACAGGCCTCCCTGATCTTTTTAAGAGGGAGAACTTGCGGCTTGCGGAGAACTGGTGGCTTTTTTGCCCCACCGTACATGCCATATTTAATCCTTGTTGTACATCCTGCTTGAATAATAGGGAAAATGGGCAGATACAGTGAATAAGGTTCTGACAGAGGAGGCAGTTCCACAGATGTATGGAGCTGTTTAAATGTGTTTGACCAGAGTGTGCGGTCACCTGCATGATCCCAGCCAAGAAGCTGATGGAGGAGGCCACCAGGACCCTCTGCTCATCCCTGCTCAAGCCCTCAAACCCAGTGATGTTCATGGGAGGGCCCTCGTCTGGGACTATTCTGGTCACCACCGAGCCGATCATCAGGCACAGGACTGGGAACGGGCCTGGGGAAAAAAGCGGCTTGGGTGGTCATGCTTTAGGCCTGTTTTAGTCACGTCATAGTTCTGCTGTAGTCCTGTTTTAGTCCTCTTTCAGTCCTGCCTTATGGTGCTTTCAGACCGCCAACGCTGAAACGCGGAAGCCCCGCTCACCAGACGCGCATTCTCTAGTTTTCAGACACAGAGGACTTCACACCAGAACGTCCTGACGCGAGCCGGAAGTACCAGAAGTAGCCGGCCGGCTCTAATGCTAAGAGAGCTATGCTAGCGGCTTCTTGTGTACATATCTTCTCCAATATGCAGCTTTGCAGCGTGTCTTTGCTAACAGACACGGGATTTATATAACAATAGTATGTGTTCACGGAGGTGCGCCATACGGTTTTTATATTATTAAACGGAATTTCCGCATCGGCGAACACACTCGAAGCAGTTGCATAAGGTCACGGGAGCATGACAACGCATATTTTCACAAGCACAGAGTCCCCCATTGTCAACCCTGGTTTGAGTTCTGGTGAAGTCTGGTGTGGGTCCTGTTTTGGCTGTTTACGAGTATTTTCAGTCAGCTCGCTCAGTCCGCTAATGTCCCCGTGACCACTTTGCTGCTCTCTGATTGGTTGTCGCACGAACGTCCCAAGGGAAGGATGAGCAGAATCCATCTCCTGTGGGCGTTGATTTTTCGCTCGTGCTCCTCCCTTTTCACTTTCCCGCCAAGTCCGTGAGTCATTATTGAACAGTTCGTTCGTGCGAACCGAGAGGTCCGTGCGTTGTGACGGTCAAACGCGCGCCACCATAGACTTTGCATTGAAAGCCGACGCAACGCATGATCTGGTCTGAAAGCACCATTAGTCCTCTTTCAGTCCTGCTCAAGTCCTCTTTCAATCCTGCTTTAGTCCTATTTCAGTCCTGTTTTAGTCCTCTTTCAGTCCTGTCTTAGTCCTCTTTCAGTCCTACCTTAGTCCTCTTTCAGTCCTGCCTTAGTCCTCTTTCAATCCTTCTTTAGTCCTCTTTCAGTCCTGCTTTAGTCCTCTTTCAGTACTGCTTTAGTCCTCTTTCAGTCCTGCTTCAGTCCTTTGTTAGTCCTCTTTCAGTCCTCCTTGAGTCCTCCTTGAATCTTGCTATAGTACTATTTTTTTCAACTTCAAAACTCCCCAAAACACACAAATATCTATGGAAATATTGTCTAATCTAAATGTTGTCACATGGTGCTGCCCTCCGACCATGACAGACAGCATTGGGGCAGCATATTAACACTCAGAAGCACCACTAAAGTTATCTAAATTGTGTGATCCATTTCAATTTGTGAAAAGAAGTCTGAAAGTCTGAAACCAGCTCACCTGTGTGGGTGGTGGCACGTCTCCAACCCTGTGGGCTGGAGGTAGTGCACTTGTCATTTCTCTGGAACAGCTCATGTTAATGAACACCTCTCAGATTGTCGCACTCACAACCAAAACTTTCTTGTTGTTAAGTATTTATTCACTGAGTTTTTCTACTCCTAAAGCAGTGGTGGGCCTTCTCTGCTGGCCTAATCATACACAGGAATGTACATATGTTTTAATATATTTATTTTCAACAAATATTTGTTAAATTTTCCCCATACTCTATACTGTTAATTTCATAGCTTTCATATGTCTAGGTCCAGTTTTGGGCTGGCGTTTATGTTAGAGTTTTTATCTAATCATTGTTCCGCTAGCAAGTGTACACCGTCAGAGCGTGCACATCTTTTGATAAGATATGCAATATAGAAAAGTTTTAATGTAGACATTATCAATACCAATAGAAAAAAATTAAATCACTTTGTGTAGTGCAACTAGTTGTTTTAGTTTTTTTCAACACGCCTGAAGGAGGCGAAGATATCGATTTGGTAGGTACATTTACAATGCCATTCTCAAGAGAAACTTTGCAAGAAAAGCTAGATTTGGTTGACGCGGCCGATTTGGTCATGTGACATGATAGTACTGAAATGGGAACAGAAATGTCCCTCTGTTGCTTTGCACAGGCGCCATACACTTTGATGAATGTATGGCGCCTGTGCAAAGCTTTAATAACAGACATGCTGTGGTTGAGCATCCTTAGTAGTAGTAGTCGTAGAAGCAGTAGAAGTATAGTTTTAGTAGTTATAGTCACAGCAGTAGAAGTAGTAATAATAGAAATATTGCTTTAGCTTTGGTTTATACCAACAGAGATGTGCCGTGAGGTGCCCAGGAAAAAGTAAATGATGACAGGGAAAAATGCAGAGAAGAGCCCATACCATGGGGGCAGCGAGGCCAGCAGACAGTAGGCCAGACCTGGGGACAAAGCAGTATAGTTAAAGATAATCTCAAGCAGGAGTAGTATGGTGTTTGGCCATGTCTGTCATGAACTTCAAACAAGTAACAACTTATATCTGTGGAGAGGAACATTTTAGATCGAACTGAGCAACATTTCAAGCAAAGCACCAGTTTAAAGGCAGTGCTTGGTTTAATGCAATGTAGTTTGACAAAGAAGCAGATGTAGCAGAGGGACGTGTTTGTTCCTCATATTTGTGTGGAGGTAGCATAAGTACAACAGCACCTTGTAGAACTGCCACCAGGCCTGTGCTGACCCCAGACACGATGTCACTCAGCAGCCACTCCTTCACTCTGTAGATCTTCAACCACGAGATGACCGGAAGGAGGGAGAGGACGGCCAAGCGAGCACGTCGCTGGTCACACCTGGAAGAGAGAGGACACACCAACTGTCACATCTGATAGAGAGAGGACACACCCACTGTCACACCAGGAAGAGAGGTGGATCTCTTTTTTTTTTTTTTTTTAGATTACTCGATGTGGCTTGTCTCGTTGGGGACAGCAGCCAGTGCACTTGCCATAACCTATACTGTAAAGAATCACAGATTTACAGGGTTAGGTAGATGATTGTGTGGGTGGCCAGCGGAGATTTTATGAGTGGAGTGCTGTGTGTGTGTGTGCGGCAGATGGCCTCTTGTTTTGGTCCGCGCTGGCACTTGCGGGAGGCACGCATTGCGCAGACGCATTCCGCGCCAAGCATGCTGGGAACTGTAGTCTTTGCAGTGGTTTGGGGCGGCTACTCTGGAAAATGTGTGATTGAGGGTTTATTTTTAACTACTAAATGTTAATTGGGAAAATAATGTAATGTTCAGCGACGTCGAACGACCCTCGCCGCACCGCGCAAAAGATTTGCTCCCGTAGCCATAGAACAACGAATCTATGAATCACTCCATGAAAGCCCAGTTTGGACCATTAGTTAGAACGGCGGAGATAGGCGTGACTACGTCCGTTTATATATACAGTCTATGATTATCTCCCATGATGCGTTGAGCCAAATACGCGTGTGTGGCTCTCATGCACGTGCACAGAGGCCGCGCTTTGACCAATCAGCGCTGCTGACCTGAGCAGCAGTAGAGTGGAGTCAGAGAGGGAAGGAAACGAGCAGAGTTTTTGGCAGTAAAATGTGGATTTAAAGAAAACCGAAGGATTTAAGAAGAAATTAAAGGCGCAAGCGGCGTTGAACGGCCCTCGCCGCCCCGCGCGACTCCCCACACCGCACCGCACGACTAGCCGCACCGCGCAACTCCCCGCACTGCGCGACTCGCTGCTCCGCGCCACACCACGCTGCATCACACCACGCCGCCTCACACCACTAACCACGCCACCATGCGCTGTGTCCCCTATGTAAAAGTTTTACTCAGCCTGTAGGGGGCGCTAATGGGACAATGTAATTGTTCACACTTTCAGGCGACCTAGGCCCAGGAGTAGAACAACTGAGTCAAGTTTAGTGCAAATCACACTTAGTGAATGCCATTCTCACCCATGTAAAACTTGAGTCAGTCTGTAGGGGGCGCTAATGCTGCACTTTCAGTTTACCCAAACCCAAAAGTAGAACAACCGATTCAAATTTGGTGCAAAAGGAGCTATGTTTCTATCTTCAAAATGGGGAAAAAAGGTTAAATTTTGCCGCTCCGCTGCTCAAACAACGTTTCACTGATCAAAATTCCCTTGGGTCATTTTGAAGGTACATGGGTTGAGATGATGTGGAGCAATTTTGAGGCAAATCGGTGAAACGGCCGAGGAGGAGTCGCTTTCCAACCGACATGTATGAAAACTTTTTACTTTTCATTTTTCAATTTTGCAGTGAAATTTATGGGCTCCCTGTTTGTCAGAGGGCGGGGCCATAATAATATTTTTTCATGTCTTGACTTGAGGAACATGTGTACAGAGTTTCATGGCTCTACGACAAACTTGACCTCCGTAAAGTCCCATAGGGGTATTATTTTGGCTGTTGTAGGTGGCGCTGTTCTGGCATTTTTTGAGTCCCATAAAAATAAACACCAAAATATCAAATTTTTCACCAGGTCTGATGTTTGGGCAAAATTTTACAACTTTTCATGCATGTTCAGGGAGTGAAATTAACGCTCAAAGTGCAGAATTTGACATCTCTCGAGCAAAAACAATATAGGTTTCAATGGCACGTGATACATCATTTTAAAGCAACCGTCACGTCAGGCTGACGCGTCCGTCACGGACCGCCACCATTTGCATTCACCATTGTGAAAGCAATAGGCCCTTACCCTGTTCGGGGCTCGGGCCTAAAAAAGTTCAGGATGACAAGGGACACTAAAATCCCCACAGAATTCGATCTTGAAAGCTGTAGGTTCTCTGTCAGCTGAGGTTGAGCTGTTTGAGTTTACATTGAGTTCTATGGGACTTTTTTCTGGTTAGCCCACTTGAATTTAGTCTGCAGTACCACGGGCGCCCCCTGTGTCCATGGGTGGGACAGCTATATGGGTGGTAATACCCTGTCCAGTTATAATAGATCCATGCCCCCTACACACTCCACTATCACAGGCCCAATACTCACCAACCCCACACCTCTCTCCTACTATCACAATTACAAAAAGGTATCATGTTCTCTCATCCAGGTACTTTTCCATCACAAAACTTTTAAAATATCGTTTGAACTGTGTCAAATTTAAACAGTTTTTCAAGTCCTCAGTGAGTCCATTCCACAAACTCACCCCTCTTACAGAAATACACATAGATTTAAGTGTTGTTCTGACTCATGGTTGGTGTATTCTATGGACTCTTCTCAAACTCACTTGGAGCTGAGTATCTCTATCACAAAAAATATTTTGGATATTTGCTGGAAGAGAGTGTTTTGATACTTTGAACATAACAAGTCCTCTAATTTTAAATCGCTGTTCTTAAAAAAAAGTTGGTTTGTGCATTCATTGTATGGGATTTTGTGAACAATCCTAAGTGCTCTTTTCTGGAGTGTAATCAAAGGCAATAGGTTTGTTTTAAAACAGTTTCCCCAAACTTCAATACAATAATTCAAATGTGACATTACAAGTGAGTGATACAATATTTGCAGTGCTTTTACATTTAGTACATAACTACCTTTCTTAATGACACCAACACACTTGGCAACTTTTGAACGTAAATAATTAATATGGGGTTTCCAGGAAGGAAAGGGCGACAGTAGCTCAGTTGGTAGAGCATTGGCCTTTGAGCCTGAAGGTTGTGGGTTTGAGCCCACCATAAGACCTACTTCACCACTCCCACTGATGACTGCTGTCGTTGTGTCCTTGGGCAAGACACTTAACCGCACTTTGCCTGAAGCCCCCACTGATATGTCAAGGCTCCTAGACCCTTTTTTTGCTGGACCCTTTCAATTTGAACATCATCAATAAATATGTTCACAGTTTTATCCAATTTTCTCTTTCCAAAGAACATTACTTTAGTGTTTTTGATCTAGTTCACTTTCAAATGACAATTGATTAGAGTTTTGTGTAAATCGGACTTTGTTTGTGCAAACAGGAGCTAATTGTCTATCGTCAAAAATGGCAACAAAAAACAAAACTCACATTTTGCCGCTCCGCTGCTAAAACAACGTTTCACTGATCAAAATTCCATGAAGTCATTTTGATGGTAGATGTGTTAAGAAGATGTGGAGCAATTTTGATGCAAATCGGTGAAACGGCCGAGGAGGAGTCGCTTTCCAACCGACATGTGTGAAAATGATCAATTTTCATGTTTCCATTTTCCAATAAAATTTATGGGCTTCCTGTTTGTCGGGGGGCGTGGCCATGATAACCTTTTTTTCATGTCTTGACTTGAGGAACATGTGTACCAAATTTCGTGGCTCTACGACAAACTTGACCACAGACCCTCTCCCATAGGCACTATGTAAACTGACTTTTGTAGGGTGCGCTGTTACAGCATAAAAAAAAATAAAAAAAAGCCAAAAACATACATTTTTTGCCGGTTCTGAATGAAAATTTGACAAGTTTTCATGCATGTTCAGGGGGTCAAATTAAGGTTCAAAGTGCAGAATAATTTTTCCTATGTCCCAGAGCAAAAACAATATACGTTTCAATGGCACCTGATACATCATTTTAAAGCGTTTGAGTTCACGCACGCAACCGTCATTTTTTGGTGAGTGACGGGCACTGACGCGTCCGTCACATACCACGACTCCTTGCATTCACCATTGTGAAAGCAAAAGGCCCTTACCCCAGTCAGGGCTCGGGCCTAATTGGTTTTTGAGCAAAGCACTTGACCGAAACAGCATCCTGCCATCTCATAGAAACAATAAAATAAAAGCTTGAAAAAGATGGCGCCTCGTACGGGCCCACGGCTTTTCGGTGCTCTCTGTTTCTTTTGTTTTTACTTTTTAACTGTGCATCTGGCTGTTCCTACACCCGTAAGGAACTTATGAACATCCGACCCACCGTTCCCATGGACCTACTGCCTGTTTTCTTGGCATCTGCGGCTGATTTAATTCATAATTTAGCCAAAAAAGTGAGGACTCGTAAGAGAGGCGGAGAGGAACACGCACGTCGGAGAGGAACACGCACGTCTCTGCCCGGCATTCACCTCTCAAACATTCGCTCTCTGGGCAATAAGATGGACGAACTCAGCCTGCTGATGAGAAGAAACATGGACTTTGCCTCATCCTGTGTCCTCTGCTTCACTGAGACCTGGCTAAATGAACGGATCCCAGACAGTGCTCTGGCGCTGCAGGGCTTTGAGCTGTTTCGCGCGGATCGCCACCGACGCTCTCAGGGAAGAGCAGGGGCAGAGGACTGAACGATGTGACAGACAGTGATCTCCAAGCACTGTTCTCCTGCTCTGGAATATCTTTTCATTCATTGCAAGGAATACTATTCCTCACGTGAATTTGTTTCATTCATTCTTGCCTTTGTTTATATACCGCAATGCACGGACGCGCGTGAGGCTCAGCGTGCACTCGCAGAGCAAGTACTGTGTATGGAGCGTTTATATCCGGACTCTCTTATTATTATCCTGGGGGATTTTAACAAGGGAAACTTGAGTCAGGAACAACCCAAATACAGACAGTTTATCAAATGCCTGACCAGAGAGGAGAACACTCTGGATCACTGTTACACTACTGTGGGCGGGCTTACCACGCTCTTCCCGTGCAGCCCTGGGCCTTTCAGACCACTCGATGATACACCTGGTTCCTGCTTACAAACAGAGACTAAAGCTCTCAAAACCTGTAGTGAGGAGCTCCAAAGTGTGGTCTGATGAGGCTGTGGAAGAGCTGCGCGCATGCATGGAATCTACAGACTGGGACCTTTTCAGAGCTGCCACAGACAGTTTGGATGACTACACGGACACTGTGACGTCATATATTCACTTCTGTGAGGACAGCATAATTCCAACAAGAACCA